TAGTTCATATTTTCTCCAAATGTATTATTCAAACATTCTGGTAATAAAGAATATATATATATATATAAACCTTCTCCAAATTTAATATTCAAACATTCTTGTAATAAAGAATGTATATATAAATCTTCTCCAAATTTAATATTCAAACATTCTTGTAATAAAGAGCGTACATGTTAAGGTTCCTATTTTTTCAAATTTGCGGTCAAACCTAGACTTAAATTTCTTTACTTGAAACAACCTCCAACTTCTACATTAAAAATCAAATATTACAGTTCCTATTTTCTAATCACAAGAAAATTCACAAGAACATTCTACATGATGATTTCTACAGTGAAAACAATCGATGAACCTCTTGAGATGAAAATCTTCAGACTAAAATGAGTTTATTTTTGTTGTACATGTTTACTTCATATCTTCTCTTCTTGCAATAAGGGATGTATGTGTTGAAATGTCTATATTTTCCAATGGTAATCAAACCTAAACTTGAAATTCTTTACAAAGGCATTTTTTTTAATTTAGATGTATTTACAAATGAATTGTTACTCCAACTTATACACAAAATTGAAATGTTGAAATTCCATTTTTCTTAAACACACTTAAAAACCACTGAAAAATCTACACTAAAAGCATTCAAGTTTACATTGGAACTCATACAATATAAAATGCACCTAGCTAAATATAAATACATACTGATTGTTTCACATTTTTTAGCCTAAAAATTTGTTTACTAAATTAGAAATTTAATTAGCCAAGCTTTCCAGACCAAAATACATAAGCTAAAGTACTTCATAACAATACAACACTGAATATTCTGTATTAGAACCCCACTAAAAACCCTACATTCAAGTTTGCCTACACGAGTTTATAGAGTTTGTAAAATACCAGTAGTACCGCACACAAGGCGGTGGCGGAAGTTTCAAAAATAGGAAACCTATAGGAGAGATTGGTTGTTGTGAATCAGAGATGGCAGAGCGAAGCCACTGCTGGACTGAAAGGCGATTGATCTCTCTCTATCTGTCTACCTGTCTATCTTTGGTGCAGTGTCATTCAGTGTAATGTAGTGTAATGTAGTGGAGTGTAGTGGAGTGTAGTTGTAAATGTAGGTGTAGTGTAGTGGAGTGTAGTGTAGAGTAATGTCGTGAAGTGTAGTGGAAGGTAGTGTAGCGTAGTGTAATGTAGTGTAGTGTAGTGGAGCCTAGTGTAGTGTAATGTAGTGTAGTGTAGTGGAGTGTAGTTGTGTAGTTTTAGTTGTAGTGTTGTGGAGGGTGGTGTAGTGTAAGGTAGTGTAGTGTAGTGTAATTTAGTGTAGTGGAGTGTAGTGGAGTGTAGTCGTGTAGGTGTAGTTGTATTTGTAGTGTAGTGGAGTGGAGTGTAGTGTAGTGTAATGTAGTGAAGTGTAGTGTAGTGGAGTGTAGTTGTGTAGTTGTAGTTGTAGTGTAGTGGAGTGTAGTGGAGTGTAGTTGTAGTTGTAGTGTAGTGGAGTGTAGTGGAGTGTAGTGTAGTGTAGTGTAATGTAGTGTAGTGTAGCGTAGTGGAGTGTAGTGTAGTGTAATGTAGGGTAGTGGAGTGTAGTGGAGTGTAGTGTAGCGTAATGTAGTGTAGTGTACTTTAGTGTAGTGGAGCGTAGTGGACTGTAGTTATGTAGTTGTAGTTGTAACCTGTAGTGTTGTGAAGTGTGGTGTAGTGTAATGTAGTGTACGGTAGTGTAGTGCAGCGTAGTGTAGTGTAATGTAGTGTAGTCGAGTGAAGCGAAGCAACATCTGAACCGCCAAAAGTGGTCCGAAACCCTAGTGTTTTTAACATTTTATTGTCCAAATATGCTTCGCGCCACAATGGCGTGCACTTTTTCAAAACTCGACATCTCAACTTCCAAAAGTGGTCCGACCATGGTGTGTTTTGTACATTTTGACTTCAAAATGTGCTTCGCGCCACAACGGCGTGCACTTTTTCGACATCTCAACTTCCAAAAGTGGTCCGAACCTGGTGTGTTTTGTTTGTTTTTGTTTTTTTTTTGGGTGTGTTGTTTTGTTATTTTACCCTTTTGACTTCACAATTGTGCTTCGCGCCACACGGCGTGCACTTTTTCATCTCTCATCTGGCCAGCTTGCCCTCCGCACAACCGCCGCTTTAGCCCCCCGACCTACTTTTCCACCCTCCCGAGCCAACAAATCATTGGAAAAACACAGTGAAATCGCGACTTTCCTACCTTTTCGCGCATCTGCATCTTCTTTCTTCTGATCTTTTCTCTTCTGACTCTTCTCACCTCTGCTTTTCAACTGTCCATATTGTCGGAAGTTTCACTTCTAAACTTCCTTCGAATATTTCTTTCATGTAGCCCCTACATCTAAACTAGAATTTCTAGATTCAACCTTCATACATACAAATATTTTGACTATTTATTTTTTTGACAAAATACTTAATTCAGTAAAATTATAGTCAAGCCTTGATACTGCATTTTCTAGATCAGAATTTCTACATTAAGCATCCTAGAATAAGGATAATCTTTAAGGATTTCTGAACTATGTTTAACAAATAGATTTAAGTCGATAGATAGATATTTAAAATATCTATTTGTATATCAAATATGTTTTTCTTTAGATTCAAGCATATAGGGCATAATACCTCAACATTTTTTGAATTCTAAAGTCTCCACACAGAAAAAAATATTTATCCAAAGAGAGGTGTATTGCATTGATTGATGAAATTTAGAATACATAATTCTATTTCACAAAAATGAATATATGAAATCAAAACCTTTACATGAAACACTTCTTGCCAATGAGAGAGATTCGGATGACATATGCTATAAACCTTACTTGGATCACATTTTGGCAAATCGATTACTGTAAATCTGAAGGCTCAAAAGTTTAGAAAAGTGCAAGCTCACAGTCCCCAGCTCTCAACTTAATCCACTGTTTCTCCAATTTTCACCCTAACTTAATCTTGACTCAATCCCAATTTCACCCTAACTTTGTTCCAACTTTTCCTATTCAATCCAAACTCAACCCGAGCTCAATTCTTAACCTCGTCCCAGCTTCATCCCACCTTTATTCCAACATCATCCTAACTTGATCTCAACTTCATCCTACTTCAGTCCTATCGTAATCCCAACATTTAACATAGACGATCCATATTCCTCTACGAGTCGTTCATCCACAATTGAAACAGCATATTGTCCATATTTACTTTCACCCATCCAGCCTTCTTGACAAATTACCCTCACTCTGAAACATTAAATACATAATGATTAGATATCACTAAAGATGAAGAAACAGACCTGGGAAGCTAACTTTGAACAATGAGTGGAAGGCACAACCAAGAAAAGACTTGAGAAGAAACAGACATCAAAAAGAATTAAGGTTGCAAAAAAAGACATAATAAGACACAATAAGACATAAAAAGACATAATGAGACATAATAAAACATAATGAGACATAATAAGGTAAGGTCCTCAAAGCTCTTACTAAGTTAGACCAAGCACATCCGGCCCCTATGAGAGTTTTTCAGATACTAGCTACTCAATTTAGCGTTTGAAACGGGATGGAAGCGGGAAAGCTGTGACATCGAGAAAAGGATATCAATGTTCCAAGGGCTTTGCCAAACTTATCACTGGCAGGCTTTTGTTCTTTGATTGTTCGATTTGCAAGCTTTGCTGAAGTTGAGTTTGTTTCTGCAATGCTGCTGCTTCTGATTCTGCCTCTGCTGACGTGGTTGCCGTTGGTAGTGGTGACTGTGACGATGACTCATGATGAGAATTAAAAAAAGTACAATGATTCTTGTCATTTGATGATTATTCAGATGGATACTTTGACAATGATGTTGAGGATGCCGATGATGATGAGGATGCGGATGAGTGCGGATGAGTGCGGATGATGTTCATTGTGTTCATTGTGTTCATGATGATGATGATGATGATGATTGGTTCAAACATGTACTACGCATCTGACATCATGACATACCTGAGATATCTTTGGATAAACTATTCCAAAAGCTCGGAGGCAGTTTAGAGTTTTGAGGCAGCATTCACCATGAGCATTGTGACAGCTTTAATGATTTCACAATTCTGATTGATGTAAAACCAGTATGTATTACAATTACACCGCGTCACCACCTGGCACATGGAGCACGGTGGGTCACATGAAACCTGAGCCCCTTGGCTGCCTTCCGCAGGAGCTTGGCCGAGATTGGCCGCCTTCCGCAAATCAAGACATTTGTTCGGCTTGTTCGGGGCTCAGGGTTTCAATGGAGCCGTCGAAGTCAAATTCTTTTTCAGATTGAGCGAGGTGAGCCAGACTCAGATTTAGTCAGATTGAGTCAATCAAACAAACAATGTGGCCAAGTAGATGTCAAGTCAAGTCACGTCCATCAAAATTAGAATACCATATATGCCTCATGTATTTGCAGCAGGTGACCAGGCGCCAGATCGACAGATCGATCATGATCATGTCAGACAGTCGGCAGTCAACTCAACGCTCAACTTCAACCGAATAGGCTCACAGCCTCACAGCCTCACCGCGTACAGCTCTCTTTCGAATCCTTTGTGATCCTTTGTGTGTGTGTGGAATTTGCAATGAAGCTGTCAGCGTCAGGGTCAATGTCAGCCGGTTTGACTGCTGCCAAAGCAGCGCGTCAAGATCCGGAGCTAGATGGGCCATCTGGGCCAGTGAATGATTCTGTGCCAAGGGTTTTGAAGGTCCTTGCGGAGTTCTCGGGCCTCAAGGGGCAGCTCCTGGTTGAACAAATCTTTTCCAAATACGGTTCGGGCATCATGTGCATCCCATGGCTCAACTGGCGAGCGCAATATCAAGAGAGACCCTGTGAATCGTCCAGTGATGGAATCCTTAGTAGAAGCCTATTTTGACTAGATTTTGCAGAGCGGATTGAATGTGGACTCCTCGGGGCGAGCATGGATTGTGTGCGGGAGTGCTGGGAATCAACTGCCTGCGTCAGCAATCACCTACAACCATCGGTCAGAAGCTATGTACCGCGCCATTGCGAAGGAACCAACAAAGCCCTCTCCACCGGGCTTGAGAACGTTTGCACGCTTGGTGCGGATACGCCACCTGAGCTTTGTGAGCTGTTTTGCAGCATGCACAACGGCTACCATGATGGAGCAGGCGACACCTTCCTCACATTGCTGGATAGATGTGAGGAGCTCATGCAGGACTGGGATCTCCATGTGAACAGGCCGAACGGGACTGGTCTCACGACCAAGAATGCCCATTACGATCAGTATTTGGAAAAGTTCATCTTTGGCGACAAGCAAGCCCTGGGCTGGGGGACTCTCTCAACTACTCCAAAACGACTTCCGTGTTGAACAACTACTTCCAGAAGTTCTATATCAAGCTCGAGATCCGTAATTGGTGCAATGAGCACATGGGCTTCCATGGCAAGACCAACAACCGGCCCATCATCAACCAACCATCTGGGAACAACATTGACCAAAAGGAATCCAGGAATCCAGAATCAGAATGAGCAAGTAAAAGTGAATGACCAAGCAATGTGCGAAATGCAAAGGAATAAGGAAGAAGTAGAAAAATAGCTAAGAAAAGTAGAGGAGGTGATGTTGATGTTGGTGATGCAAGTGTCGGGCTGGGGCAGCGGCAAGGGGGTCTCACATTGGGCCGGGGGGGGAGGGAACGGAACGGGAACGGGAACTGAGGGAACTGTAATGATCTGACGGGCGGACGACTTGTGTTCGCTGCACTGCACTGTTCTCTCTCTTACCCATTGCGAAACATTTTAGCCTTGAACTCAAGCGCACAGCGGTATTCAGGTGCTCTGCAAAAGGGTTACCTAAAAAAGTACCCAAACCAGCGCTCCTAAACACATGGTAAATTCACACCCGTGACTCTGGTTTTGGGTGCGTGAAAATCTTTAAAACTGTATGTTGCGCTCTAATGACGTTTGGCTTTTCGCCATTTCTGCTTCGCGAGTTTCGCCACTTCACTTTCAGCAGTTGGCTCTACATTCCAAACTCCGGCTCTCAGTACTGCTCGAAGTGGATTTGCATTCATGTCTTTGGATCTACCAACATCTTCGATGTATCAATCCATCGAATCTGGTCTAGCATGGACTTGTCTAAGTCTTCAACTTCTGTTCCATCTTTCTGCCATATCAGCTGGCGTAGTGCGGCTAGGTCAACTGCCAGTCGCTTGTCGGATATCTTGGCCAATGTTGGATTCGTCAAATGCTCTTCCAAACTCTCACAATCAGTCATCCATAGGTGAGTCATGTGTTCTCTTGATGGCTCTTCCCAATTTCTTGTATCTAAAAGTCTTCTGGCTTCAACAATGGTTGCACGAATGCGCATACCATCTTCTACAGCATTCGACATTCCATATGCCTCGGCTTGCAGTGTTGATCTACAAACTCTCTTCGATTGGGTAGATCGGTGATTCCATTCCTTCTAGGAAACTCTTGTCGGCCAGTGCTGTCATTCTGGCCCTCTGACTTCTCCAAGGTTCAACTGATCCTCGAACTATCTCTTTTTCTCCACTCCATGATGCATCTGAGATCGTTACCAGAATGCTTTCGTCCCAATTCAGCTTTCCGGCTTCATAGTTGATCCCATGATCTGAAAACTCTTTTGCATCTTGAACCACCTTGTTCGCATAGATGAGGTCGCGAATAGTGGCTCTGGTGCAAATTGGTTGCAATCGGCTAACACGGTAGCTAAGGTCTGGTCTCGCCTGTCTTGCTACCCATGCTAAAGAACCAACAACTGATCGTAATTGTGAGATCTTTGCTTCATTCGCTGACACTCTGTCTTCTTGATTCCTGTCCTATAGTTGATCGGTTCAATCTTCTCTGCCGTTGCCTTGCAAGTCACTTTGATATTTCCCTTGTCATCTTGTGAAATCTCTCTTCCACAAAAACGGACATCGCCTTCTGAAATCTTGCCATCTTCAACTTGGAACGCTTCTTGGATCTTCCTCACATAGTGTTCATATCCAGGCTTTGCTGCAAACAGCAAATCATCTACATGAGTACCTAACATCACTTTGATGTCGCCGTCAACTGATAGCGTGAACAATGCTGGACAGAATGTGGACTGCTTGAGTCCTGTCTGGGTGATGACTCCCTTCAGCTTTGTCCAAAAACGTCTCCCAGCATCTCTTGTACCATAAATTGGTACCCTCTCGCCATCATCATGTCTCCTTCTTGGAGATCACTTCCTGGAATTCCTCCCTTGGGAACCTTCAGCAACATAATTCTATCCATGGCTGTGCCATGAAAGTAGGCGTTGGTGATATCAATGCCTCGTACTCGCAACATGAAGCATGCACACCATGCCAAAATTATGTCAAGGCTTTCCACCTCGATGGTAGGTGAATCCGTTCTGACTTCACTCTGCTGTTCAAGATCACCTAGAGCCACAAGTCGTGACTTGTGCTTGATCTTGTGCTTTTGGCCTGGTCTCTGCAAATGAGCATCCTTGTCTGTGTCAATCGACTGTGTAGGCTTGGTTTGTGACCTTCATTCAACAGGTCTTGAAGCTCCTTACCTCTGACTATCTGCACGGCATGAAACTTCATCCATTTTTCCCATTCTGTGGATCTTGATCCAATGATACCTTCTTGTGTTTCTTTGTCGCATTTGTCAAAATCAAACACCTTTCCTTGCTCTTTTTGGACACGAATCGTTCTGCAAAGAATGACGCTGCTTCCATTCTTTGTCGTTTTCTTTTCATCCTTCCATCATCTTCCTTCAAGAAGAAAACAGTTCTTCCTGTCCATGGCTTGCTCAAATACTACGGGCTGCGCCCGTGACTCTGTAGGCTGTGAACTATACTTGGCTCTGGCAGTCGTCTTCTGATGCTTGCTGGCAAGTCGTCAAGCAAATTTTCGATGTTTTCAATAGTTCCCCTTCTTGATGGAGGCATCTATTCGAGCTCTGGTTCTCCTGTTGATCTTGGACCAATTTCACTTCCTTCTCTGTCGTCTCTTGCTGGCCTCATCCCTTCGTCTCCAGGGATCATGCCATCATCGTCGTCATCGTCGTCGACAACTTCTTCATCTTCTTCTGCTACTGGCTCTAGCCTATAGTCGACATACCCTTGTTGCTGGCGCCCCAGCTTGAACTCAAAGGGTTTCTGGCGATAGAGGTACTGATACGCTAGTGCCTCACTTTCGTTCAATGGTCTCAATCTGTCCGTTGCTACACAAGCCGGTGTGCCCTTGTGCAAAACCCAGCACACTTTTGGTCCATCGAATCCTATGATTCTTGCAGCTGTTGACCATGCCAACTGGTCTGTCTTGAAACAAACTAAGTCTCCAACACCAAATTCTTTTGGAATAGGCGCTGTCTTCCTTAGTGCCTTAGTATGGCCCGTGAGACTCGACTTGACAGATCTGCCCGGATGAATGGCTTTCGCGCTGCTTCTCGAATCGAAGCGATCTTTCCACATTCGGGATTTGGGTCTGACGCCATCTCCAAGACTCCTAGATCACACCATTCCTCTTCCATGGCGGTTCCTGGTTCTCTAGGTATGCGTCCTAGCACCCACTGGCTTGGTGTGAAGCCTCGAACTCTCGACATCGAGTTCTTCGCAGTGACACGCTGAGTCAAGATCTGTGTCATGAGGTCTTCACCGACTGCTTGAATTTCTGCAATGGTCTTGGCCACCATTGCCTTCAGCAGTCCTCCATGCCTCTCTATCCGACCAAGCTGCTCCGGACTCTCAACCCCAATGTTGGTGATGATACACCCTCTGGCTGCCAATCCTTCCGCGAACTCACCGCGATTGTGCAACCCACGGTCACTCACCACCTGTTTTGGGTATCCAAAGATCTGGCTGGGGCTCTGAGAACAGCTTGAAGCATGTTCTGCTTGGGATTTGCCCACCACCTGTCTTGACCAGGTATGCTTGGTGGTAGCATGTCCCTTGACAGACAAAACTCAGCATGGAATACCTTGTGTTGGACGAATCCTTGATCTCAAAGATATCAACTCCGACAGCTTCATTGAACTGAAATGTTCTTGGCAGAGTTGTCTTCGAAGTCTGTGGCTTAGGCTTGTGCGCGTCGCATCCGTCACACCTTAGAAGCCTTGCCTCTTTGATGAATTCGTCCTTGGCATTCGATCCGCGAAGGACCTCCACCAACACAGTTAATGGACAATGTCCGAATTGACGATGCATCTAGCGAATTGCTATTCGCGTTTTCCGAGGGATTGCTCCCGTCTCTCAGCTTCTGACTTTGGCATGTTGGGAAGTGGAAGTTCTTCCAACATCTGCTTCTCGAGGTCGTATGCCTCTTCTAGCTCGTCTGCAGTCATCTCTTGCCTTGGTTGCTGTCCACTGTGTTCCTGGACTTCTTGGCCATCTTGGATCTCATCCACTTCGTCCAGTGGACCCAATTCATCCAATCTGGCTTCATCTTCCTCAGCTGGAAATGCACACACAAATGCACTGTCTCTCATCCTTTCCTTCAATGCATTCATGAACCTGGGATCTTCCACAGTATCTTCCCAAGTCACTGGAGCTTTGCGCTTGTCCTTCTCCTTGATCCATGCTATGATCTTCGTATCAGATCCAACCACCTTCACATCTCCCGTGCCGAGATGGTGTGGCTCATCTGACTGCAACATCGTATCTGCTGCGCAGTTGAATTGAGGCATCACATACGTAACATGTGATCCTTTGGCATTCCATGAACATGCCAATTCCTTCAACACTTCTGGATCATAGTCTCTGCAAATCACTGCAGTCACATGTGTGTAGTACTTGCTGTCCATGTGCCGAAATACATTGCCTGCCAGCTCCTTCATGTGCCAAACGTCGTGTCCTTCAGGGTTGATGTGATTCACACTTGACTGAAAATTACCTACAAACACCAATGCAGCATGATTCTGATGCTTTCCTATCCTACAGTCATCAATGTCCGTCCAGTCATCACATGCAGCACCATACGCGAGGCGATCTGCGACGATCATCTTCTCGGCTCCCTCTTGGAACCAGCTGGATGTCTGTGCACCCATAATGCCAGCGGTGAAAAACGCAGTCTCTGGAAGTTTCTCCAGCGCAACCCACTCAGGAATAAGAAACACAACGATGTTCTGAGGCTTTGCATCGTCTTCATACTCATCATCCTCATTGGCCTCAGCATTGGATTGCGTGAGCTCCCACTCACTGCTTTCGTCCTTCTTCTCGAAGGTATACTTCTTCCACCCCAGCATGTGCGACATCGGGTGATTTGTGTGCTTCTCGGGCGACTCTTGCACGCCATCCTCACACTCACAGAGTTTCCGCTGAAGTTCACGGTCAGGAACTGGACTTTGTTCCTCCTGATAGTCTCTGACCATTCGTTGTCATGGTCTTGGACTACCTTCAACAAGGTCTTGCCAGCCTTCTCCACAGTGGTAGTCTTGGAATCCGTCCAGCGTGTCGGAGTTCCACCCCACTGCGAAGTCTTGCCCTTGGACTTGCTCTTGGATCCTTCTCACAGCCCTTCGACTCACGGCCCTTGCTCTTGGATCCTTTTCCCTTGTCCTTGGGCTTCTCTGGAGTCCTTGTCCTTTCACTTCTGCTTCGGCTCCTCTTCTTACGGTAGCGCTTGCCATGGTCAGAAGACGAAGATTCACCTTCACTTTCCTCGGGTTTTGAAGCTCTTACGTCAACCCGCGGCATCGTCGCAATATTGAGAATGACAGGTGTCCTTGGAGGATCCATCTCATCCAGATCCTTCTTCATCTGTGCCTTGAGCTTCTCCTCATCAATGCCAGCTCATTGAAGGCTTGTCTGGTAGTCGGTTCATCCGATGACTCGTCTTCGTCATCGTTGGTATAGTCTGGCTCTTCTTCATCAGCTTTTGGCGCATCCTTAGTATCAGGAGCTTTGCCAAAAACACTGAATGGATCTGGCGCTTCTTTCATTGGTTCATCTTCCTTCTCACCCTTCTTTTCATCGCCTTTGCCTTCTTCCTTTTCTTCCTCCTTCGGCTCTTCCTTGACAGCTGTGAGAGATGTCTTTGGAACGCCAACCAAGTCTCTGATGGCTGTTGGCTCCAGTCCAAGAGATTGCACCAGTGTTGCAACACGGTCTCCAGGCGTTTCTCCAAACGTGGCATACTCCGATGACAGCAGGATGTTAATCCCAGCTTCATTCAGACCACTCTCTTGGAGAGACTTGCACACTCGGAGCCTTTCGTTTCTTCCAAGGCTTCGCGCAACTGCACTCTCTGCAGCATTGATCCTCTTGTCGGGCCTTGCAAAGGATGCTGTGGCCCTCTCTGGCCCTTGAGACCGCCTTCGCCGACGACCACGTTCACGGTCTCGGTCTCGCTCACGGCCTCTTTCAGTCACCTCTGACTTCTTCTTGCGTTCTCCTGACTTCACCAATCTCTCAACATCTTCCTTGAGCCATTGCTTCTTGGCCTCCGTTTCTTCTTTCTTTTCCTTCGCGTACCTGTCAATCTCTTCTTGGATCCATTTTGAGAATTGTGACTTCACAATCTTGTATACATTGCCTTTGTGATCCACATTGCACTCCGTGCACCCACCGTCAAAGCATTTCTTATCCTTGTGATCGACTCGACCTAGGTGCCATTTGTGCATTCTGAACGGCTTTCCCAGATCGGCTTTCTGCAAGACGGCGTGTAGGATGTCAACCGTATGCAGCTCAATGCCAAGACCTCCTGAATTTGAGATCCAAACCACAATCGTATCTTGTGGCGTCTCGCAGAAGTTCTCGTACCAGCTGCGGAAGAGACCTTCACCTCTTTCTCAACTGCCTCGAGGTTGTCTCTGAGTTCCTTCACTCCGATATTCCCGTCTCCGGGATGCGTCGGAACCTTGGTCACTTTGTTGATGGCATTGAGCCTCCTACAGTCAATTATGATGTAGTTGGCTCCACCTTCGAGCGCATGGTCCCAAAGTGGACGGTTGCACTTCTTTTGATTGGCATTGGCATGCCACTCAAGTGCACCAATCAAGGAATGTTCATCCTCTCGATCTTCCTTTGTTTTATTTATGAATCCAAGCGTTGGAACCCTCTCAAGAGATCCGTATTTCTTGAGCATCACATTGGCAAACCATTTGTGCTGCGTTGGCAACTTTGGCTGCCCCGCAGGCCTTTCTTGGACAGCCTTACCATTCTCGAAGTCAAGCCCCATCGTCACGAAGTGGAGCTGGTGGTGCTCAGACTTCCATCCACCACCGAACTCTCGATCTGGTGTACCTTCTGTCAAAACCATCGTAGCTGGTTTGACTTCCTTACCTGCACCTTTACCTTCTGTGGCTTGAAATGCTGCGGGAACATACATCTCAGGCGACGGTGAAACTGAAGCATCACATGAGGAATCACTAAGGTCATCATCCATGGTGTCTAACCAATGTGATTTGGATGTCCTGTCATGTCCGGCCGTCGTCTTGTCCCCTGAGATCTTGTCACAACTTGCACATGTCATGTCTTGATCACCCCCAAGTCATGCACTCCCCAGGTCCTTCTCCACCGGAGGATGCGTGCACGTACGTGAGGAATCAGCAGGGCCAAAAGTGCTCTTCCACTCTTCCGAGTCTATGCGAAGTGGACGTAGGTGTCGCAGAAGTTTCTGACGGTGACGCGTTGCCGTACCCAATGCTCCGATGTTGATGCATAACAACTGATTCTGCTTGGCTCTGCATAGCTCCACATCAGCTTCATAGTCTCTCAGAACACAAGTTCCATGACGCATGTCCTTCACAAGGCCTGGAGTGGCTTGGTTGCCAAGGCTCAGCAGTAAAGGAACAAAGCTATCATGGTCGAGCTCATATGAAGCAATGATGCCTGCCACATTCTTCAAGTCACTGCCAATGTCGATGGAAAATGGAATTCGAAACAATCCATTTGCTTTCGTTGCATTGGCGCCTACTCCGTTGTAATTCTTTGTGGCCTTGCATGTTTCCATGCAGAACCCCATGGCTTCCAGCTTTTCTTGGGCGTTCAGTCTCCAGCTCCTTGAGTGACAAGTTGTATTACATCCTTCGTCCAGGATGGCCCAGATTCCTGGGTCTGTCACGATGTCAACTTCTCTGAGCTCTTTTGGAGAACCATAGATCGGCATCTGGAATCGTGGCTCCCAGTTATACCATTGATCTTCGTAGTGCTGGTACCATGGACTGTCGCGCCACCAGTCCTCGGAATACTCTTCGTCTGCCCATCGGTGAGCTTGTGACTGTGGTCCTTTCCATGAGAGAGACTCCAGCAATTCACTGACTGCCATCATACTGACTGGAACATGAGGTCTTGTCGCATCGACTACATCTTGCAACCTCTTGACCAACTCCTGGTCATCTGCCTGCACCTGTCTGGATATTGATCCTTGTCATCTGCCTGCACCTGTCTGGACAATTCATCTAAACAAGCAAGCACTTCACCCTTGAACAGTCTGACAGATTCTTGCCTGCAGGTCAGATTCGTTGCCACCTCTAACGCGTCGTCCGAACTTCTTGCTATCGACTGACCTAACTTTTCTCTATCACGTCGATGTTCCTGTGGCATTTCACTTATGAACTCCTGACACTGAAGGCAATAGATTCTAGACATGTTCTTGGATGAACCCCTCTTGTCAGTGATTTCATGTGGGCAAGTGTCGTAGTCGTAAAGCTTCTGTGTGTTCTTCCTCGTCTTCTCAGTGTGCCCACACTTCTTGCATGTCTTGACATTGTAGTATGCATTGGTCCCTCGTCTCGAGAACTCAACACACCCATCTGGACATCGCCTCACTTCTGGTGGACTCTGAACTGCTGCAGGTGGTATCCAATGTTCAGGATCCTTCACTGTCAGAATACCATTTCTCTCCTCCATACATGTCTTCAACCATGTCTGGAACCTTTGGAGATCTGGTGTTCTTGGATTCCCGTTGAATACTCATCTTGCAAACGGCATGTCCTTGAGGACTACATCTGCATAGGTCGAACCCCATCGGCAACCGTGGAATTCCCCGAACAGTACTAGCTTCTGACGGTGCCTCTTGTTCAACAGAATCTCGTCGACTAGTCTGTTCTGCGGGCCTATGCGCTGCATTTGAGGCTGAGCTGCCTTTTCCCCTTCCAAGGGATTGTCGGCTTGATGCAAGAGCCATCAAAGCAGTCGACTCTGCTCCTTCGTCATAGGAGAGTCCAACACTTGAGTCGTCTGTGGACGCCTTTCTGGCATGCAGAACCGTGCTCACAGCTAGGCTTGCTGTGCGGTTCTTGGGACATTCTCTGTCTCCGGCCCAATGGCCTTTCATGCCACAAGCTTGGCATTTTGTCTTCGCCTTGAACTCTTGGAGTTTCTTCCTCCGGTCCTCCAGCGACAGACTGCCACCAAACTTGTCCTTGCTATAGCCCTTGCCATAGCTCTTGCCTTTGGCCTTGAATTTAAACTTACTTTTTCCTTTTGTGAAGCAGGGCGGCGTCTTCTTCTGTCTCTCCACCTTCGTTCTGCAGGTGTGACTCGAACAGTTCTTCATAATCCACGGAGTCTTCATATTCCCAGCCTTGTGCAGCTTCGTGGTCATAGGAACCATCGTGACTGCCCCGCTCATCTGACCAATCTGCCACATACGAATCAGCTCCTTGCCAATCATCTTCCCATCCGTCGTAACCGGAGGTGTGATCAGCACCGTAGTCGCACCAGCTCCACTTGAGGCTGTATGGTAGGACCGAATCTCCCCACCTTCACCTTCTTCTCCACGAAGTTTCTTCGCCTCTCTAACGAAGCTCTCTTCGGCCTCCTTCATGATGCGCAGTCTCAACTCCTCGACAGACTTCTCTGGGGACGGTTGAGACAACATCCCAATGGCCAAGGCCTGCACAGGACCTGCGCCATTCAGCGTCCCTTGGGCCTGCTCAGGACCCCCATGTAGAGCTCCTGCACCACGGGCCTGCCCAGGGCCTCCATGTAGAGCTCCAGCACCACAGGCCTGCACAGGGCCTCCATGTAGAGCTCCTGCGCCAAGGGCCTGCTCAAGGCCAGCACTACCGCAAGCAGCCTGCCCAGGGCTTGCACCAGAATGACCATGTCCAGCAACCCCATAGCCAGCAGGGCCAAACGTCACAGGTGCCCCTGCAAGAGGCGGCAAGGATTCTGGTCTTGCCACATCAGCGACCTGTTCCAGAACTGCAGCTCGCTGAACTCCAGCGCTCCAAAAGGCATTGACTCCAGGAGGCACTGCCATCACCTCAGCGCCACCTCGCTCTTGGCCAAACAGGCCAGTAGATGCCACCAGCAAGGACGTCCCATCACGGTACACGAACCCTTGTTCCCGGCCAGCATCACTAGAAAGGTTCCGAGCCAGCTCCAAACCAGCTCCAGCAGCGCTAGGTCCTCCTTGAAGCCCTCGTTCAGCTGCCACGGCAGGGCGGATGTCATCATCTTCGTCCAGCCTTCGTCGAAACACCGTCTGAGCTTCATCCTGCCCAGACTCATGAAACAGCGGAGCAAGAAGGCCATCAGGTCCTAGAGGTTCTGCATCAAGTTGGAGTGAGTTCACCTGCCCTTGTGGTCCTTCAGTTCCACCTTGTCCCCGACCTTCATCTCGTCGTGGCTCTGGCGTCGAAGCAGCCACGTCCCCCTCGGTCACCTTCAGTCGTCGGACCTCGGGCACTTGGGGAACTTCCAGCTTTGACCTCTTCTCCATCTCGATCAGCCTGTCTAGGCGCTGATCTGCCGTCTCTTGGTGCTGCCGGCGCCTCCGATCCATCACAGTCAAAGGAACCCCGCGCACCCAAGCCAGTGAAGGCTTGGGCTCATAACCTGCGAAAGGCAGGTGCAAAAGTCTGCCCTTTTCTTGAGCCATGTGCAGTCAGAAATCCTTGTGCAGGGGCCATGCAATGAACGGTCGTCCAAAAAGCATGCCAGTCCTACAATAGACAGCACTTCTTGATTTGTGCGTGTCATTCTTTGAAAACGGCACCACAAAAAGAATTAAAAGATTTAAAAGAATTAAAAGATTTAAAAGAATTAAATATTTAAATCTTTTAAAGCTCTGGGGAATTAAAAGATTTAAAAGAATTAAATATTTAAATCTTGTAAATATTTTAAAGCTCTGGGGAATTAAAAGATTTAAAAGAATTAAATATTTAAATCTTTTAAATCTTTTAAATCTTTTAATTCCCCAAAGGACGTGGGATTCTGAGGACCTCTTGGGATTTAAATCTTTTAAATCTTTTAAAGCTCTGGTGAATTAAAAGATTTAAAAGAATTAAATATTTAAATCTTTTAAATTTTTTAAAGCTCTGGGGAATTAAAAGATTTAAAAGATTTAAATCGTGAGCTGACCCTATTGTTGGAGGATTCCTGGAGACTTCAAAGATTTAAAAGAATTAAAAGATTTAAAAGAATTAGAAGATTTAAAAGAATTACATATTTAAACCTTTTAAATCTTTTAAAGCTCTGGGGAATTAAAAGATTTAAAAGAATTAAATATTTAAATCTTTTAAAGCTCTGGGGAATTAAAAGATTTAAAAGAATTAAATATTTAAATCTTTTAAATCTTTGAAATCTTTTAAATCTTTTAAATCTCCAAAGGACGTGGGATTCTGAGGACCTCTTGGGATTTAAATCTTTTAAATCTTTTAAAGCTCTGGGGAATTAAAAGATTTAAAAGAATTAAATATTTAAATCGTTTAAATCTTTTAAAGCTCTGGGGAATTAAAAGATTTAAAAGAATTAAATATTTAAATGACTCAAGCCGAGCAAAGACGTGATATGGATCACTTTCAAACTTGATCAATGAATGCAACAGAGCAGTGGCCCACGCACCTTGAACTTTTTGGACACACTGCTCATGGCGTGGGGCGAGCAGTATCTTCGATCTGATTGATTTCTCGAAAATCTACAGAGCAGATGACAGAGCAAAAACTGATGTTCGTTCATACCAAGATCCTCATACCTGAGCAGCTAACGCTGACCTTTCACAGATCATGTCGAGCTGACGCAAAGGTTAGAGAACACACTAAGGCATGAACAAAACGACCCCTTCCGTCAGGCTGAATCAAAATTTCTGCAGTACGCTCATCAATCTGTGAACTCTTCACGAGAACTCCAGAAAAATTAGCAAGGGTGAGCGAGCAGCAGCAAGCCTCACCCTGTACATTTCGTACAGGGCGGGCTGGGTTGGGAGATTTCAGCCTGGGAGTGATCAGATGAACTTGCGCCAAAATGGCACGAGAGTGCTGGCAGTTCCTCAGTGATCACCACGGGATGAACTTCACACAGTATCAAGAATATATATGAACATATATATAAATAAAATAATAAATCGGATCAAAATCAGATTTCCACGATCAAGCTTGAACAAGCTCTTCAGAGTCACCTTCCTGTCCCAGACCTACCTAACCAAAGACATGAAATCGACTCAAGCCGAGCAAAGACGTGATATGGATCACTTTCAAACTTGATCAATGAATGCAACAGAGCAGTGGCCCACGCACCTTGAACTTTTTGGACACACTGCTCATGGCGTGGGGCGAGCCTTCGATCTGATTGATTTCTCGAAAATCTACAGAGCAGATGACAGAGCAAAAACTGATGTTCGTTCATACCAAGATCCTCATACCTGAGCAGCTAACGCTGACCTTTCACAGATCATGTCGAGCTGACGCAAAGGTTAGAGAACACACTAAGGCATGAACAAAACGACCCAGGCCCGAACATGCCTATTTCAAGGCCGACGGCCAGATCACTTGAACAGTCTGCCATCCTACCGCTTCGCCTAAATGGAGTTTGTTACGTGAAGGCCAATCAGCCGGGTTGGCGTCTGTTGAAATTCTATCGATGAACACTCTAACTCGCAGCTGAAAAGCTAGGTCCCAAAAGACCGAAATGATATGACAAAGATCTTCTTTGCTTGAGTATCCTTTGATCAAAGCAGACTCAACTGCTTCCGAGTCTATGAGCAACAAAATATCTGCCCCTCGGATCCGATCAGCGAAAGTTTCAAGCGCCAGAACAGCAGCGATCATTTCAACCGGAACAATCTGAGTGCTGCGGGTGAGCCACCTGTTTTTCACTTCCTCGGGCACCACAGCAGTGAACTGCTTGGGCCTGCGGGAGCGCCGATCAAACAGGACTGCACCAACACGATCAGGCAGCTTCTCTGCAGAGCGAGGATCCGGCGTGAATCCATCCGTGAAGATCATCCGAGCACTTTTCGCCGACCATGTCGATAGGCCGCGGAGGACCATGTTGAACAAGCTTCTTCCATTGCAATTGAGCCTCACGCAGGGGCGGGTCCAGCTTAACTCTGAGCCGATCGGGAAACGCAAATATTGCCTTTCCGAGATCACTCTGAGAAATGCACGGCCTACCTTGCCCCACAGCTGCGAGGCACCAAACATGAGCTTGCCCTTCAACTTCCCCGCTGAGCCCGGATCGAGTAAACCAGAAGCCAAGATCGCGTCGATTTCGCCAGAGAGCTCCTCTTTCCGATCGGCCTTGATCTCCAGTTGCATGAGCTCCAGGTTGTAGGTGACGCCTAGGATCGTAGGCGACCTGGATAGCTGCAGCTTCTTCTGATCAAACTGGGCACCTAGCCAGAAGTGAACACTCTCGGCGATCTGCTTGGCACTGGCTACTGTCGAGGCCGGCTCGAAGCCGTACTTATCATCGTAAAAACTGAAAGCGAGCAAACCAAACAAAGAGACCAAGATCTCGTTGATCGCAGCTGACCTTCTGTTATAGTTATATACCGCGGAGATCAGCCCAAAAGAATGACCGACCATGATGAAGAAATGCGGGGAGCCAACCTCCGGATTCTTCAAGCAAATCACAGAGAACTTCCTCTGATCAGGTCGCACTGCCACTTGACGATAAGCTTTCCTCTCGTCAAGGACCCAGCCGCAGAGAGCTTCTTCTGGCTTTAACGAGCGAAGACGCCTCAGTGCAGCCACATTGGAGTCCGTTGACGGCAGCTGGAGCTTCTCAGAGATCTCCGTGACCTGGTTGATCATGTTGGTGGTGGCGCTGTCACATCCACGAACTTTGTTCTTCTGGACTACCTCAAACCTTTGTGTAGGGATCCAGTCTTCACACCCTGAGATCTTAGAAACTTCACTTTCGGACGCGAACGGTCCCAAACACGAACCTTCATTCACATCCTCAAGCGATGCCTCCCAAATCTTGATCAAATTCTGTATGACAGGTACTGCGTGAACACGGTTGACAATCTTCCGCCTCAGATCCCAGGCCCGCTTCAATGCCTCCTCCACGGGGACGACCTTCTGAGTCTTCTCGTAGGGAGGCCACCGACCGGTCGGGGTGATCAGGCCCACGATCGGGAAACCATGCAGAAGAAATTGAGGGAGCTCTAAGTCCACTGAGCGCACTTCACGAAGCATCTCGGCATAGAGCTCAATGTGACAAACTTTCCCCAACTGCGGCGCCTCATCTGCAGGCGCACCGAGAAGTAGCCGGCAAGGAGCAGGATCAGGATGACGCCGTATCAGAGCCACTGAGCGGGGCAGCAATTCGCGAGCGCGCTGTTCCCAAAATTGCAACAGCTGGGCACGCTCGTGCAAGATAACAGATGCATCACGCTGCAGCCGGGCCAAAACTCTGCACGACTGATCATCCAGCGGCACGCTCTGAGTAAAAGGGTGTGGCACCTGGAGCGCAAACTCGATCGCCTGGCCCGGCTCAAGCTCAAACTCAAAAAGGGGTTTGGCGGCACCGCGCTTGAGCTGGTAGCCAGCCCACTGCACCTTCAGAGCTGTGGCCTCTTGACGATGACCAAGCCAAGGTTTACCGGACTCAATGGGTGCGATCGCTTGCAGGTGTAGTGAGCGCAAATGACGGAGCGAAATGCGCCAGAGCATCTTGGTGGAGAGCCGCAATCGCCTCTGCCAAAGTAGCGCACAAAGCCCATGGATAAACCTGAGCCGCTTTGGTCCGAAAGACCCAGTAGCCAGTTTTGGGATCCCGCATCTTGCCCTTGAGCTTCACATGGCGATGGCCTCCCGGGCAGCGCATCTGGACATCGTCGCGAGCAATTCAGAAGAGCATTGCAGCCGCGTCGGCTTCAACGACAGGGCTCCAAAAGCACATTGATCAAAGTCCAGCGCGAGAGCACGAGTATCAGCCACTAGTTGTTCCATGGTTGCGGTGACCCAAATAAGGCTAAGGAGAGGGTTTTCGATCGAGAAATCCCCTCCCAGTTGAAAAACGATCAAGCAAGCTTCAACCGTCCTAGAAAGAAAAATGTTACCAAGCAGGACTAAACACTGGTTGTCCTGCGACAGATCCGGCAACCCCATAGGCCTGAGCGCCGATCGCAACGGCGGCGGCCCACCGTCGAGCTTTCGAGCCGCAGTGAAAGTGTTGCACGGTGTCCCGCAGTGCAAGAAGAAGACCAAGCCTAAGGTGAGCACCTTCAGCACTGTAGACCACGTGATCATGTCAAGGAGATCCACTGGTTCTGGCACCAAAGGGGAGACCACTATGTCAACCGGTGGCAAAATGGGGACACCACGCAGCTGAACAGCATCGGACAGACCCGCCGTGCCCGAAAAGAGCTCCAAAAAGTATAGGGCCCCCGAGCATGCAGCGCAGGGACACCGTCCAAGCCTTGGGACCAGACAAAGGAAGGCTGATCAGACTCTGCTGCCTCACTCACGCTCTGACTCACATCACGGCCAGAGCGGTCACTTGGGGCGGCTGGTCGATCGACCCAAGTGCCAGGTGGCCTAGCCTCCGAGGCCACCTGGCCCCCCTCGTCACTTCAGTGGTTGCCATGCCAAGGGTGGTCCTTGCCCCACTCGACACAGGCATGTTTCTGTCGGCAGCTGTCACCAAAACGGCAGCCGAGCGAGCAATTGTAGAAAGGGCAGCGCTTGCGCTGCCCCATACTTGAAAGCAGTGATCTTCTGCCACTCCTTGGCTGGCACACGCTCATCGCGTGCTGGCCGAGCGGCGCCAGAGGCGGATTCCTTGGAGGAACTCTTGCTGAGAACCTCCTTGGCCTTCTGGAGCTGGGCTTTCTGCCGGGCCCTCCGAGCACGATTCTTCTTGCCTTTCGGGGAGGTCTTCACTGCCGAGCCCGAACGAGACCGCGAGCGCTTCTTGGCCGGGGTGGAAGGAGCTGGGAGTTGGCCCGCTTGTTTGAACTTGTCGAGCTCGGCGCTGGAGCGAGCATCATTCCAGAGTTGCTTATGGTTCGTAAGCACCTCTAGCAGAGCCGCAGAAAACGAGCCAAAACTCTTGCGCTGATCAGAGCTGACTCTATGGACTTTCTTGCGGATGAGCGTGTCCGCGGTGAGCAGCAGGGCCAATCCTCGGTTTTCGTGGCGCCACTCCTCAAGCTCCGAGAGGTACTTGAGGGGGCCGGCTGCAAACGAGAACTCGCAAATGTTCAGATATTCCAAGGTGATGAAGAACGCGTGCAACTTGTCCATGACTTGTGATTCAGAACTGGCAGAGGTGGGCTGATCGATCATCACTACCCGAAGCAGGTCTTCCGCGTTCTTTGTGAGGCCTGACTTCTGAGCGATCTGCTCATTCCGGGTGCGGATCTCGCCGACCTCATAGAAGTGCACAAAGCCATGCACCAAATAATCACGTTGAACACGTTCGACGAACTTTCTGTGGGGTTCCCGGTGCAAGGGAAGGACCACATCTGGGTGCCGAGCTACGAAAGTCTCTCTAAATTCGGCATGATCTTCGCCGGGAATCTCAGGAACTTTCGATGGATCCTCTTCCATTTTGGCCCGTCGAGCCGCAAAATGGTCCTGCATGGTCGAGCAGGTCTTCCAAACTGCCGCGAGAGCGGTCAACGCGAGCTCTTGTGAGGGCGCATCTGGTCCGAAAGATGCTGGATCTGGAATGATTGTCTTCAAAGTGGCCTTGACCCCCGCAATGTTGTCGCCCAGCATCGCGAAGGTCTCCACATTGAGCAATCCAGCGTCGGCCGCAGTCTTGCAGAGCTCATTGGATACTCGTTGGCGGCCCAAGATCTGTCTCAACGGCTGATCTGGGGTCTTATCCGCCGTATACACGGTCCGATCGACCATTATTGTCAAAAACTGATCGGGAGCCAAACATTACTGGCCAAACACAAAATCAAAATTTGAAAAACTCAAGCAAACATTCAAGCATCAACGACAGAATTAAATGCAGCAAAGGCGCAGCTCATGCATGACGGGAGCCCGGACTCACGACGAAGCAGCGAGCAGCCACGTCAGGCCGAGCTTTGGCACAATGTTTGCACAGAACTGCTGCATCGGGCAATGCTGGCCCTACAGACGAGCATTCGTCCACAGGAAGGCGACCACACGCCAGTACTGTGGGATCCCCAAGTTGGGAGCAGTGGTGCCTATAGTCATGAGCTCGCCTGGCGCCCGAGGACTTGACAAAGAACTGAACGTCCTCAAGAGCCGACGGATCCTCTCCATCAAGGATGGCCCCCTCTGGTGGCTCGATTGGGTGCTCGTTCTCGATCATGTCCTGGACGAGCTGTCTCACCATCTGAGCCGGAACGCTGGTACGATGCCGGGTGTACTTGAGCACCAAAGGACCAGGGTTCTTCCAGTTCGCCTGGAGGCCAATCTCCTCGGTGGAGCGACCAGCGTGGACTGCAGCGTCGAGCAACGTCACTCTTGCTGAATGAGCTGTCACTTCAGAGAGCCGGTCCAACACCGCGTTGATCTCCTCTTGATTGCCATTCATGAACTGGGTCACGGCAGTTTGGCCAAGCGTTCGCAGCCACTGCATTGATCGTTGGTAGGACGCCGGGGCGTCGCGAAACTCCTCACGAGAGTTCAGGTCCCGCATCCAGTAGTCCCGATCAGGGTTCTCAAGGAGGAGCAGCTCCCAGCCTGTCTCGAGCCAAGCCGAATCCTTGAACCCTACGTGTGGCACTACGAACTTCGTGCCTCGCCTGCGCCTTTCCACTTTGGTCTGCCACGCAATCCCAAAAAGACCCTGATCAGTTAAAACAAGTTCTTGGGGTTTAACATGCAAAGCGTCATCAAACCTCAGAGAAGCAAAAACCATGCAGAGCCACCACCATGCAAAGAGCCTCGCTGCATCCGGTTCATTCGGATCCACCACAAAAAGCTCCAGGCAGGCGACTGCCGCAATTGGGATGGGAACGGCCTCTTTCAAGGTCGTGTTCCTCTTCTTGACGATCTCTGCCTGAACAGCCAGAAATGCGGGGTGAGCTAGATCAGGGCACTCGATCGCCAGTTTGGAGGTCACCCATTTAACTGAAGTTCTAAAGGACGGCAAAACAGAGGGGCCACATTCTTTATGATCCAATGCAAGAGCGTATTTCAAGATCTTGTCATGGGTCAGTGGGAACACGGCCAACTGTTCGCTGGCTAGCCAATCTTCAAACCTTTCCCAGGCTGAAATATGGGCAGCCATCGTCCTGGGAGCCCCTGATGACAACACGAGCTGTCTGAGCCGTGCCGTTTCGGCTGCTGACAACCCTTCACTATTGGTGGTGTCGATCAACAGTTTGGAGAACTCCCCTGCACGTTCCCCTATGTCCTCGAGCTTGGCTGCCCACTTGCGCCTGGCCGCATTCTCTTGATCCAGAAGCGGAGTTGAAGTCACCTCCTCCTCCGGCTTCTTCAAGATCTTCCTAGGCGGTTGGGCAGGCTTCTGAGCAAGAGCACGGATAGCAAGAGAGCGTCTGGCTCTGGCAGCTTCAGAACTCAAAGCAACTGATAAAGGGTCACACATACCAAAACCAAGCTGTTGAGCCGTTGAAGCAAAGAAGGCTTTCTCGATCGACGAGGCCAGGCTCCAATACTGCTCTAGCATGAAACTGCTCTCCAGTAAAACATCCCTGATGCCTTCATCCAGTGTGGGAGCCCACTCATGGACCTTGACAACGAACTCCGACGCCACACGCACCTCCATGGCCGAGATGAGTGCCAGGTTGGCGAACGGCGAGGCGAGCACGGCCTGGGCGAAAGCATCAGAGAAAACAGGGAGGCATAAGATCTTGGATGCCCATCTCTCGTTCAATTGAGCCATCTTGCAACTGTTCGTGAACATGACATTATTTGAACAAATAAGACATGAGCAACATGAAACCCAACACCAAGGAACACCACCCCCCAAAAATAGTTGAGTGTGCCAACCTGGGTGAGGTCATGAGCAAATGCCTGATCAAATAACGTGCATGTATCATGAACACTTCACTGAGCATCAATTGAAATAAAACTCAACGATCGTGTTAACCTCTTCACAAGGCAGCTCTTCCCGAGCACTCACACGCATGGACATGAACATGCAAGAAATGTGAACGTGTATCAGAAACTCTCAAGTGAACCTCAATTGAAATCAAATTCAACGATCGTTTAAACCTCTTCACGAGGCAGCTCTTCCCGAGCAAACACGCATGTGGGCATGAACATGTCAAGATCATGAACATGTCAAACATTTCAGATCAAACCGAGCGAGATGACTGACCAGGGCAAACACCTAAACTAATCAGTCGCTCTCACTAACAGTCTGATCTGAGTTCCCACAACGACACTGCTGAGGGGCGTGCCTGAGCAGGGCCCCATTGCCCATGACTGATCGTCCCACAGAAAATAAAAGGGGAAATCAGTGAACACTCTGGCAACCCTCAGCAAATGTGAAAGCTCAGTGGAACAACAAATAAAACAAACCATCAAATTCCAAACATCACTGATCCAAATAATTTCCTTCTGAAATGCTGCAGCAGCTTTTCACAAACTGCGCAGTTTGGCGATCATGCCAATCTGAAGGAAAGCATCTCAAAAGATGGATTACAGAGCCGTCTGCCTCAGCAATCTGTGACCTCTTCCACAACAGGTGGGGGTCCATAGCTGACTGGCTGACCTGGCTGCACAGTGCTGGATCCAGCCACATAGCCGCTTGTGGCCTGGCTAACACGATCCAGGAAGAACTGCGGAGTGACCGCTGCTGCTGACATCTGTTCCCCTTGGCGAGCTTCCAAAGGTCTGCGATGAACATGCACAGCGCCACCCTGCAGATTAGTGGCTGCCGGAGCTTCCCCTGGAGCCGTCAAGGCCACCTCGGATGGCACATTTGGAGCCACGGTCAATGATGGCGCCATAGGCCCTGCGAGAGCCAGCAAGCTTCCAGAGACCGAGGAAGCCGGCACCACCGATGGGCCACCTGTGACCGGCGGCAAAACAACCGTCTTCTGCTCGAGCTCCACATTGTGAGCCTGTATGGCCAGAGACTCTCGAGGGACGATCGCCTTCTCCGCCTTGAACAGAGGGGACTCGCAGGTGAAGTGCAAGTTGGACGCATGAGACTCCACCGCAACTGCTCCAACTCTGGGTCCAGTCTCTTCCACGGAGCCAGCTTCGATCGATGCCGTCCAATGGGCGTGGATCCCCGCCAGCTGTGAAAGCTGCATGGTCTGATCCGGACCCTCGATCCTGGCATGGTGGTCACGGCACCAGTGAGCATTCTTCACGAGCGTCGGGCCTGACACACGTGAGACAACCAGCCAAGTCGATGGGACCACCAGGGAACATGACACATCGACCTTGTCTCCAGATGACCTGAAGCGAAACTCCAAACGATCGGCATCCATCCCGATCGAGTCCGCAGATGAGATTGCAGTCACCCTCATCTCAAAGTGGCACAGTGGGAAATCAAGAGCCACCACTGTGCCTCCATCGCTGCATGCGTAGAGCCGCCCTCCAACCTCGAACGAGGTGGCAATGACTCTCCACCCTTGGAACACCGTGACAGCGACCGAAGGGATGAAGAGCATCTCATCCAATCGCGGGATCACCGAGTCGTTGATGTAATTCAACTGGACCGTCATGTCCTGGTCCGATCGGTAACCACGCAGCTCAAGGTGGAGCAGCAACTCACCTTCCACTTTGACCTTGACGTCGACCCATGTGGATCCATCATCTGTCATCATAGGCCATCTGAACGGTTGGAAGGCTGGGTGCGAGAGCACTTGCCCCGTAGGATAGTCCCACTTCGCGCAAGGGACTGTCCCATACGAGGTCATCGAGCCGACCAACACAAACTTGAACCCATCCAGAGTGCGAACGTAGAGCAGGTTGAAGTGATAGCCCGTGTTTGGAGATCTCACCAGCTGTCGATCAGACAGCACATTGATGCCGCTCTGAGCGTTCAGCAAGATCTCGTCCAGAAGCCAACCTTGGTAAGGAGACTGGATCCGCTTGTCTCTGCTGTCAATGACAAGCACCGATCGTTCATGCTCCTTTGCCCCCAATTGTTGAACGTAAGGGGGCAACTGGAAATTCTGAGCGTTGGCCGCTGGCATCTGGCCCCAACGAATGCCGCGATGCCCCTTCTTCCGAGCTTTGGCATTCTGTGAGGCGATCTTCTCAGCCTGCTTCTAAGCACTGCCCAAGAGCTGCTTTGCCGCCTGGACAGCTGGAGCCGCTTGTGGTGGAGCCGCTTTTGGCAGATCTGCCTCCCATCCATCTTGCGGAGGCATATCTGTCTCTGACTCCTCCTCCTCTTGGCCAGCTGGAGCGCTCTCTGGGATCACCTTCTTCTCAAAACCTTTGGGTGGCGGCTTTGGAGCAGGGTACTGGATCCTTGCAGGCTGAGCTCCCCCCTCTTGAACAACACTCCACGATGCTGCTGAGCCTGTCGCACTTGCAGAGTCATCCGGGCTGATCCACTCTGCAGCACGAGAGGATGCCATGGCTTGCTGGCGAGACTGAGCAGATGGGAACGTCGATCGAGGATAACCAGGCCCTTATGCACAAACACCGAGAGGCACAAGAAAAGATTTCAGCCTGGGAGTGATCAGATGAACTTGCGCCAAAATGGCACGAGAGTGCTGGCAGTTCCTCAGTGATCACCACGGGATGAACTTCACACAGTATCAAGAATATATATGAACATATATATAAATAAAATAATAAATCGGATCAAAATCAGATTTCCACGATCAAGCTTGAACAAGCTCTTCAGAGTCACCTTCCTGTCCCAGACCTACCTAACCAAAGACATGAAATCCTTTTAAATCTTTGAAATCTTTTGAATCTTTTAAATCTTTTAAATCCCCAAAGGACGTGGGATTCTGAGGACCTCTTGGGATTTAAATCTTTTAAATCTTTTAAAGCTCTGGGGAATTCAAAGATTTAAAAGAATTAAATATCTAAATCGTTTAAATCTTTTAAAGCTCTGGGGAAATAAAAGATTTAAAAGATTTAAATCGTGAGCTGACCCTATTGTTGGAGGATTCCTGGAGACTTCAAAGATTTAAAAGAATTAAAAGATTTAAAAGAATTAAAAGATTTAAAAGAATTAAATATTTAAATCTTTTAAATCTTTTAAAGCTCTGGGGAATTAAAAGATTTAAAAAAATTAAATATTTAAATCTTTTAAATCTTTTAAATCCCCAAAGGACGTGGGATTCTGAGGACCTCTTGGGATTTAAATCTTTTAAATCTTTTAAAGCTCTGGGGAATTAAAAAAATTAAAAGAATTAAAGATTTAAATCTTTTAAATCTTTTAAAGCTCTGGGGAATTAAAAGATTTAAAAGATTTAAATCGTGAGCTGACCCTATTGTTGGAGGATTCCTGGAGACTTCAAAGATTTAAAAGAATTAAAAGAATTAAAAGATTTAAAAGAATTAAATATTTAAATCTTTCAAATCTTTTAAAGCTCTGGGGAATTAAAAGATTTAAAAGAACTAAATATTTAAATCTTTTAAATCTTTCAAATCTTTCAAATCTTTTAAACCTTTTAAATCCCCAAAGGATGTGGGATTCTGAGGACCTCTTGGGATTTAAATCTTTTAAATCTTTTAAAGCTCTGGGGAATTCAAAGATTTAAAAGAATTAGATATTTAAATCTTTTAAATCTTTTAAAGCTCTGGGGAATTAAAAGATTTAAAAGATTTAAATCGTGAGCTGACCCTATTGTTGGAGGATTCCTGGAGACTTCAAAGATTTAAAAGAATTAAAAGATTTAAAAGAATTAAAAGATTTAAAAGAATTAGATATTTAAATCTTTTAAATCTTTTAAAGCTCTGGGGAATTAAAAGATTTAAAAGAATTAAATATTTAAATCTTTCAAATCTTTTAAAGCTCTGGGGTATTAAAAGATTTAAAAGAATTAAATATTTAAATCTTTCAAATCTTTTAAAGCTCTGGGGAATTAAAAGATTTAAAAGAATTAAATATGTAATTTTTAAAATCTTTTAAATCTTTTAAATCTTTTAAATCTTTTAAAACTTTTAAATCTTTTAAATCCCCAAAGGACGCGGGATTCTGAGGACCTCTTGGGATTTAAATCTTTTAAATCTTTGAAAGCTCTGGGGAATTAAAAGATTTAAAAGAATTAAATATTTAAATCTTTTAAAGCTCTGGGGAATTAAAAGATTTAAAAGAATTCAATATTTAAATCTTTTAAATCTTTTAAATCTTTTAAATCGGTTTAATCTTTTAAATCCCCAAAGGAAGTGGGATTCTGAGGACCTCTTGGGATTTAAATCTTTTAAATCTTTGAAAGCTCTGGGGAATTAAAAGATTTAAAAGAATTAAATATTTAAATCTTTTAAATCTTTTAAAGCTCTGGGGAATTAAAAGATTTAAAAGATTTAAATCGTGAGCTGACCCTATTGTTGGAGGATTCCTGGAGACTCCAAAGATTTCAAAGATTTAAAATATTTAAAAGAATTAAAAGATTTAAGAATTAAATATTTAAATCTTTTAAATCTTTTAAAGCTCTGGGGAATTAAAAGATTTAAAAGAATTAAATATTTAAATCTTTTAAATCTTTTAAAGCTCTGGGGAATTAAAAGATTTAAAAGAATTAAATATTTAAATCTTTTAAATCTTTTAAAGCTCTGAGGAATTAAAAGATTTAAAAGAATTAAATATTTAAATCTTTTAAATCTTTTAAAGCTCTGGGGAATTAAAAGATTTAAAAGAATTAAATATTTAGATCTTTTAAATCTTTTAAAACTCTGGGGAATTAAAAGATTTAAAAGAATTGAATATTTAAATCTTTTAAATCTTTTAAATCTTTTAAATCGGTTTAATCTTTTAAATCCCCAAAGGAAGTGGGATTCTGAGGACCTCTTGGGATTTAAATCTTTTAAATCTTTTAAAGCTCTGGGGAATTAAAAGATTTAAAAGAATTAAATATTTAAATCTTTTAAATCTTTTAAAGCTCTGGGGAATTAAAAGATTTAAAAGATTTAAATCGTGAGCTTTGGAGGATTCCTGGAGACTTCAAAGATTTAAAAGATTTAAAAGAATTAAAAGATTTAAAGGAACTAAATATTTAAATCTTTTAAATCGTTTAAAGCTCTGGGGAATTAAAAGATTTAAAAGAATTAAATATTTAAATCTTTTAAATCTTTTAAAGCTCTGGGGAATTAAAAGATTTAAAAGAATTAAATATTTAAATCTTTTAAATCTTTAAATATTTAAATCTTTTAAATCTTTTAAAGCTCTGGGGAATTAAAAGATTTAAAAGAATTAAATATTTAAATCTTTTAAATCTTTTAAATCCCCAAAGGACGTGGGATTCTGAGGACCTCTTGGGATTTAAATCTTTTAAATCTTTTAAAGCTCTGGGGAATTAAAAAATTTAAAAGAATTAGATATTTAAATCTTTTAAATCTTTTAAAGCTCTGGGGAATTAAAAGATTTAAAAGATTTAAATCGTGAGCTGACCCTATTGTTGGAGGATTCCTGGAGACTTCAAAGATTTAAAAGAATTAACAGATTTAAAAGAATTAAAAGATTTAAAAGAATTAAATATTTAAATCTTTCAAATCTTTTAAAGCTCTGGGGAATTAAAAGATTTAAAAGAACTAAATATTTAAATCTTTTAAATCTTTCAAATCTTTTAAATCTTTTAAATCCCCAAAGGATGTGGGATTCTGAGGACCTCTTGGGATTTAAATCTTTTAAATCCTTTAAAGCTCTGGGGAATTCAAAGATTTAAAAGAATTAGATATTTAAATCTTTTAAATCTTTTAAAGCTCTGGGGAATTAAAAGATTTAAAAGATTTAAATCGTGAGCTGACCCTATTGTTGGAGGATTCCTGGAGACTTCAAAGATTTAAAAGATTTAAAAGAATTAAAAGATTTAAAAGAATTAAATATTTAAATCTTTTAAATCTTTTAAAGCTCTGAGGAATTAAAAGATTTAAAAGAATCAAATATTTAAATCTTTCAAATTTTTTAAAGCTCTGAGGAATTAAAAGATTTAAAAGAATTAAATATTTAAATCTTTTAAATCTTTTAAATCTTTTAATTCTTTTAAATATTTTGAATCCCCAAAGGACGTGAGATTCTGGGGACTCTTGGGATTTAAATCTTTTAAATCTTTGAAAGCTCTGGAGAATTAAAAGATTTAAAAGAATTAAATATTTAAATCTTTTAAATCTTTTAAAGCTCTGGGGAATTAAAAGATTTAAAAGAATTAAATGTTTAAATCTTTTAAATCGTTTAAAGCTCTGAGGAATTAAAAGATTTAAAAGAATTAAATATTTAAATCTTTTAAATCTTTTGAATCTTTTAAATCTTTTAAATCTTTTAAATCATTTTAAATCCCCAAAGGACGTGAGATTCTGGGGACCTCTTGGGATTTAAATCTTTTAAATCTTTTAAAGCTCTGGGGAATTAAAAGATTTAAAAGAATTAAATATTTAAATCTTTTAAATCTTTTAAAGCTCTGGGGAATTAAAAGATTTAAAAGATTTAAATCGTGAGCTTTGGAGGATTCCTGGAGACTTCAAAGATTTAAAAGATTTAAAAGAATTAAAAGATTTAAAGGAACTAAATATTTAAATCTTTTAAATCTTTTAAAGCTCTGGGGAATTCAAAGATTTAAAAGAATTAAATATTTAAATCTTTTAAATCGTTTAAAGCTCTGGGGAATTAAAAGATTTAAAAGAATTAAATATTTAAATCTTTTTAAATCTTTTAAAGCTCTGGGGAATTAAAAGATTTAAAAGAATTAAATATTTAAATCGTTTAAATCTTTTAAAGCTCGGGAATTAAAAGATTTAAAAAGAATTAAATATTTAAATCTTTTAAATCTTTTAAAGCTCTGGGGAATTAAAAGAGTTAAAAGAATTAAATCGTTTAAATCTTTTAAATCTGTTAAATCCCCAAAGGACGTGGGATTCTGAGGACCTCGGGATTTAAATCTTTTAAATCTTTTAAAGCTCTGGGGAATTAAAAGATTTAAAAGAATTAAATATTTAAATCTTTCAAATCTGTCAAAGCTCTGGTGATTTAAAATAAATATTTAAAATATAAAATATATTGAGCAGCTAGCACGTGCATAATTTGACCTGAAGGTCCCTCATACATATATATATATACATATGCATCTAACTGATTATAATTAGTAATCTTTATATAATGATTAATCCCTTCCTCCATTATAATGCATGAATAACATGACTTCGATTTGGTTCGATTTGATTCCCTAAAAATTAATCCCCCCTAATACTAAAAACTACCGGTAATGTTTATTATTAGGGGGGCGGGGGGGTGAGTATTAGGGAGAAGGGATTAATCATACAGCCTCATGAACATTATTCCTGTGATCATATATGGACATTCTATGTTTGCCAGATTTGGTCTCCAAACTACATAAGGGTGCTCAAATATGATAAACTCGTTACGGTGTGTTGGCCGCATTCTAACTCTAGTATGAAAATCTATGGGGTATAAAGCGAACATATGTTCACAGAGCCCATGAACACATATGATATTTTATGATCATATGTACACATTCTAAGTTTGCCAGATTTGGTCCCAAAACTACATAAGGGTTCTCAAAAATGATAAATCCGTACGGTGTGTTGCCACATTCTAACTCTAGTATGAAAATCTATGGGTTTAAAAATTGTCTTCTGCGGGGAAATTTTGGCCGAGGTGTCGTTCCGTAATGGCCGTATGTAATTTCCAAAACCGCATTCTAAGTTTCAATCCGTCACTATAAATTATTGCATGCCGGGGCCGCAACCAACCAATAAGAAACATACCCCCAAACCTAAACGCAGGCCGGCGCAAATCGACCAGGGAACACTCCTTCATCTTTTGGATATCTTCCAACTTCTTGGACTTCTGGATTCTTTTCTTGTTCCACATCTCCTCGTATTCCCTTTGCTTGATGGCGCTGAGGTCTTGTTGGACCCCAATGACCTTAAGCTTCTTAGAGCACTTGAATGTCTCAGGCATTGTCTTCTCCGTGATGTCCTGGAGGAGAAGGCCCTGCTTCGTGTTCACTTGATCTTTGACAAGGCTATCTGCCAAGAAGTTGGCTTTCCAGCCATACGTTTTCTGCAAGTGCTCTTTGAAAGCTTTATCCCTCTGACTGATTTCTCTCAAGCCATCAGACTCAGGTATCTCAATCTCTGCTATGAGACGAAGATCCTCATAGCTCCCCCTTTGAAACCACTCGTTCACAAAGAGTTGCAAAGCTTTGGCATCCAGCCGTGTCTCGCCATCTTCGAAACGAATAGCTATCTTGGGAGCTTGTGAGCCTGCAAACCCTAAACGTTCTTTCAATTTTGGTTCATCCAAGCACTTTGTCTCGACCTCTTTGATTTGGTCTTTCTTCAATTTTCTCTGCAAATTGACCTCGGAGGTCGCGACAGGCGTCGCTTCCTCACCCTTGACAACACATTGGATTCGAGCCAGGGCCTCAAACCTGACATTCATCGCCTCTTCTATTTCCTTGCGGCTCTCCTGGCCGCTTCTATCACCATCAAAGGTCCCAAGGACTTTCTCCAATATCCCCAGATGATTTCTCCACCGCCTACCAAGGGATTCCTTCATGTCCGGGGGTGCTTTTGTAACACAGGTTTTCAAGACTTGCGCAAACTCTTCTAGCCTCTCCTGCGTTTCATGCTCTGTCAATTTCTCTTGGGTGTTCTCAACCTTTTGGCAAGCGTCCCACGACCTGAAGTCGGGGTACTGTCTTGCTACCTCCACTGCTTCTGATGGCAAGAAATCATCAATCGCATCCAATTTGCCGTCCATCCTTGCACGAAAAGCCACAGCCTGACTGAATTTTGCATCCTTCTCGTAAAGTTGCTTCAGATCTTTCCGACCTGGAATCTCCTGACCATTCATGCGTAATGATTTGTCAATGCCAATTCCGGCGCATTTAGCCAAGTTTGGAAAGGTTTTGTCAGCCTCTTTCTCAATAGCTGTGATCTCTGTGAGCAAAATGTGAGGTGGTTTTGACTCGAAGCAAACTGTGATAGGATTCTCCAATGCGTGCGTGTCAAGCTGGGCCCCTTCTGCATCTTTCTGCAACCTCTTCCGAACGCGGGTTAACTCACCGCAGGTAGCCTTCAGCCATTCATCCTTGGCCACCTGCTCTGGCTCTGAAAAACATAACTTGACCACGTTCAGCTCACCCTTCAATCTCTCCAGTGCCTCATCGGTGTCCAAGTTTAACCCAAACATTTCCAGGTGGCTGAGATCAAGCTGTCTCTCCGAAAACTGGCCCTCAATTTGCTGCATCTTTTCCAGCCACCTTCCCTTTGTTTTGGGCAACTTCTTAAACATGTGCTTTGTGCAGAATGTCTCAATGATATCAACATACTGCCAGAGTTCTGGTCCGATGATGGCTCGCAAGATCACCATCGACTGCAACGTTGACCCATCAGCTGGCTCACCTGCCTTGATCACCCAAAGGAAACGGGTAATGGATCCCTCCGCCTTTAGTCCTTTAATGATCTTTTCCAAAAGTTTCTGATCACGGCCATATGTATCATAGGCGCCAGGTGTGTCCAAGAAAGTCACCTTACCGTATTTTCCAGAACCAAACCAGTCCACCGTCACCTTCTTAACATCTTCCGTAAATGAGTCTGTTCCATCGCCGGCCTCAAAAATCTTCAGGTCGGAGGAAAACCAACTCAATAAGTTGGACTTTCCAGCCCTCGTTTTCCCAATCACCACGCACTTGGGCACGTTGGCAACACCATAATTATCGAATGAAAGGATGTCAGTTTCTGTCTTCGAAGAAACCCTTTTGGCCACGCCACCGCAGTGACACAGCAGCAGGAAAACCCCGATGAACCTTAGCTGTTGGATTCTTGTGTGCAAAACAAGCACTACTTGAATGGAAAACAACACCTTTTTCTGTGGAACAACTAACCGCACGGTTCTATTCCAAAAGTCTGAGCGCTACTGGGTTGAATGTTGACAAGCAACGACATTGCGAAACTTGTTGGCAAACGAGCTACAGGAGCAATTGCTGCTTAGCGGCTGCAGGGTGCGTTCATCTATCTGATTCTGATCACAACAGCCATCCTACGCCTACGCATCATCACAAGGTCTTTTTTGCAGCAGCTGTCGTCGCATGGTCACATTGCGCTTAAGTCACACCACATGGCTTCACGAGCACGTGCCGCGCGCATTCAAGCAAAATGAAACTAGACCCACCGAAGCCCAACAGACAGGGCAAGGCATACAAAACGATACAATTTGCTTTGCCTTGCACGATTGATATGCGCATTGCTTGAGCGAACCAGTTCACCGAAGACACGCCAAAAAGTGTGGAGTGTAAAGTGTGGAGTGTAGAGTGTGGAGTGAGGAGTGTAAAGTGTAAAGTGTGGAGTGTAAAGTGTAGAGTGTGGAGGGTGGAGTGGAAAGTGTCGAGTGTGGAGTGTGGAGTATAGAGTGTGGAGTGTAGAGTGTGGAGTGTGCAGTGGGTAAAGTGTGGAGTGTGGCAGGTGGTGGTGATCTAGTTATGCTGGAGATGTTGTTGTGCTGGCGATGTTGTTGTGCTGGTTATGTTGTGCTGGTGATTTCGTTGTGCTAGAGATTTCGTTTCTGCTGGTGATTTTGTTGCGTCGGTCGACTTTGTGCAAGCTTTGTGGTACACAGTATTACTGGGAAGTAGTTTGTGCAAACTTTGTGTAAAGTGGGGAGTGTGGAGTGTGAAGTGAGGAGTAGGGAGTGTAGAGTGTGTAAAGTGTAGAGTGTGGAGTGTAGAGTGTAAAGTGTCGAGTGTAAAGTGTGGAGTGTGGAGTGTAAAGTGCAGAGTGTGGGGTGTGGAGTGTAAAGTGTGGAGTGGAGTGTGGAGTGCGGTGTGTGTAGTGTGGTGTGTGTAAAGTGTAGAGTGTGGTGGAGTATGGAGTGTGGAGTGTGGAGTGTAAAGTGTGGAGTGTGGAGTGTGGAGTGTGGAGAGTCGTGTGTGGAGTGTGGAGTGAGGAGTGAGGAGTGTGGAGTGTAAAGTGTGGAGTGTGGAGTGTGGAGTGCGCAGTGTCTAAAGTGTGGATTGTGGAGTGTGGAGTGTAAAGTGTCGAGTGTGAAGTGTAAAGCGGTAGTGTAAAGTGTGGAGTGACGAGTGTAAAGTGAGAAAGGCAAGGGTTTTTTTGGGCAGCTGGTTGATTGAGGAAGGGTTTGGGTGAGGTTCAGCCACTTGAAGGGGTGTTTCATCAATTCACGACACGGGTGGTTCCAGCAGCATGAGGTTTCTACCAGCGGTTGAGAATTTGTTTGAAGGTCATGTTTTTTCAGCAGGGTTCAAAGAAGGGTTCGAAAAGGTCCATTTTCGCACCTTCAGAAGGTTTTCAGACGTTTGAATCTGTCACCAACAGCTTGAGCCTTCAAATGGTTCACACATATTTTTCAACCTCGCAGCATTTTCAGCACAGAAAGAACGCCGTTGAGATCGTTGAGTCGAGAACGCCTGTTGAGTCGAAGGCATGGCGTTGAAGATGGCGTTGAGCAAGAAGCACTGGATGATGGCATTGATCGCATTGACGTGTGCAGCCGGTCTCTTGCCATTAATTAATAAACTAGTTCACAATTAATTAAGAATTGTTGTTTCCTATAGTTTTCTTGCACCAGTGTTTCGAAATCTTTTAGCAAGTGCCTTTGAACATAATTAACTAATTAATTAGTGTGGAAGTGGCTTGTAGCAAACACATGAAAACCAGCCTCAGGATTTCAGTTGCCGATTGGAGTCGAAGGGCGAGTTCAGGCAGCATCTAGTTGACAAAGCAATTAATTAACTATGTTTTCCTAGTTCCACCCAATGTTTTCCCCTCAATTTCTTGAATAATTAATTATTAATTAATAAGTTTTTCCGATTTCCCACCATTCTTGAGGTGTGCATCAGCGTGGTTGGGGTGCTATTTGCGCATTCTTCCTGATTGAGATGGAGAAGATTTCAGACCTTCAGGAGTCAGCCAGGTTTGCAGCCGAGAAGCTGCACTACCTTGAGCGCAGTCCCCTGTTCTTGCAATTCAGAAATTAATCAAGTTTTTCATTGAATTGACTAATTGATTAATCAAATAATTAGTTGATTAATTCATCAATTAATTACAGTTCCTTTCAAGGGCTTTCAATTCTTGACTTACAGTTGGTTGAGAAGTTCTCTTTGAAAATCTCTCAGGGGCAGATTCAGCAGCAAGCCTGACTTCAGATTTGCTGCGCCACATTGGCCAGGCACTGGTGGACTTCGATTGCAGTCTTTTGCAGGATTCAGCATTGCTTTCTTTTGATACAAAGTTTTTTATTCAGTGTGTTGGATTTTTTTGATCATGTACAAGCCCTTTTTCCAAGGCCGTGGAGGCTCCATGGTGTTTCAGCTGTCGCTGGTGAGTTTGAGGCCATCAGGTCCAGCAGAGTTTGAGTCCTACAAGAAGCTTGGCAAAAATCAGAGATTCATTGAGTAGTTAATTAATTAATTAGTTTTTACTCTTTCCGTTTCGTTATAATTAGTCTCAGAACTAATTAACATTTTTCAGGAAATTATTTTCTTCAGCTTTGAGACTTTCATTTCAGGAGCGATTGGGACTGTATGTTGGAGATTGCGCGGCGCCTCACCATCAACGATGTCTTCTACGAGCGCCTTTCATATGTTTCTTGATCACTGTTTGCATTTCTCCTTTGCTTTATTCATTTCATTAATTAAGCTAATTGTTTCGTGATAAAGTTGTTTTGTTTATAGTTTGCATTTCTTATGGTGTTTCAGTCCCACCTCAGGCTGCTGAAGGCAGGACAATTTCAGCGAAGAAGCAGGCTGAGATGGAGAGGGTGTTGCTGAATTGCAGCCGTCCTGAGATCGATTCAGTGAAGTTTCAGCCAGAAACCTGGCTGAAATCATTCAGGATTTTTTGCATATTTTTTGCATATATGGGTCTATAATTAATTAATTAATTAATTAATTAATTCGTTATTTAGTTAGTTAGTTACTTACTTAATGACATGCAGTTTCAACATGTTCTTTTTGGGAGTTTTTCTTTCTAAGGAGTTGCAGCTTGACGAGTTGCTGCAGCGTTCCAGCCCGTGGCATTCCCTTAAGTACCATTTAGACTACTTGCAGACAAGGGAGGAAGACACACAGTATTTTGTATGTATATTATTTTGGTGTTTTCCTTTTTCATTTTGTTTTGTTTTTCTTTTTAATTAATTAATTAATTAATTATGCTGTTAGTACTATTTAAGCCCCACTTTTCTTTTGATTCAACAAACTTTCTTCTTTTCTTGAACCATTTCGCTAAGGCTTAAGGCCAAAGCTATGAGACTGGATTGGAAGGTCATCGGCGCCACCGTGAAGGAACCGGCCAAAATGCCACCGTGGAATACGGAAATAAATGTTTCCTGGCGTTCAGTGGTTAATCTTGTTTTTGGAGGATTTTGACACTGTTTTTTTTTAAGATATGATTGGTTGATTTCCAGTCTTTCTCACAGCATTGAGGCAAAGGCAATGGCCGAGCAGATGCAGTGGTACTCCTATTGAGCCCATTGAGTCGGATTCCAGAGCCTGCTGAGCTTGAGAGCGGTTTGAGACACGGTTTGAGAAAGAGTACAGTCGAACCCCAAAATTTTAGACTCTTCAGAAATAATTATTAGTTACTTTCGGGAGGTTTTAGGTTCAATTTAAGTGTTTTGTTGGCTACAAAACAGTGTCTCACCTCGAGCGTGTCGAGCTTCTTCAAATGCCTCCTTTGATGAGTTGTTTAAACATGTTCGAAAGCAGTTGGTTTAATTAATCAATCAATTTATTATATAACAAATGACTACTCTGAAAGTCATTCATTAAGATTTGGTTGGTGAGGAGGCTTGAAGTTGAGCTCCACTTCAGCGGCTGGGGGAACTTGAGCAGATCTTGATGGCGTTCTATTTTAGGGAGCTTGAGCCGATCTTGACACAGTTCTATTTTAGATAACTTGAGAAAAATTGAGCAGGAGGTAAGGGACGAATACTTTATTTAGGGGCACCCCTAAAGCCCTAAATTAAATAATTGGTTAATTACTTAATGAATTAATTAATTAATTTGTTTCAACAGCTCTTAAAGAGGGATTCCAATAGGAAAGGAATTGAGAAAATAATTCAACCACCAAAATTTAAGCCCCAGAAACCCAGACACTTTATTTAGGGGTGGTGAAACATTCATTTTATTTAGGGGTTTGCGAGCTTCAAGACTACCCCCTTTGTGGGATTGATTTTGAGCATTTTTGAATAAGGGTTTAGTAAAGAAATCGATCGTTTCAGCAATTTTGAATTTTCTCAATTCAATACCTTTTCAGAAAAGGTTTGATGGTTTCCCCATCCAGCTCAAAGGGGTTTCAGAGGGTTTCGGGGTTCCAGACAAAATTTTAACCTTTCAGATCCAAATACTTTATTTAGGGGGGTGAGATCATTCATTATTATGTAGTCTCTTTCAGTAATTAATGCATGAATTGGATTAGATTTGAAAAGGAATTGAGAAAAGAATTCAACCACCAAAATTTAAGCCCCAGAAACCCAGATACTTTATTTAGGGGTGGTGAAATATTCATTTTATTTAGGGGTTTGCGAGCTTCAAGACTACCCCCTTTGTGGGATTGAGTTTGAGCATTTTTGAATAAGGGTTTAGTAAAGAAATCGATCATTTGAGCCATTTTGAATTTTCTCAATTCCATACCTTTTCAGAAAAGGTTTGATGGTTTCCCCATCCAGCTCAAAGGGGTTTCAGAGGGTTTCAGGGTTCCAGACAAAATCTTAACCTTTCAGATGCAAATACTTTATTTAGGGGACTGAGATCATTCATTATTATTTAGGGGTAGTCTCTTTCAGCAATAGATGCATAAATCAGATAAGAAAGGGAATTGAGAAAATAATTCAACCACCAAAATTTAAGCCCCAGAAACCCAGACACTTTGTTTAGGGGTGGTGAAACATTCATTTTATTTAGGGGTTTGCGAGCTTCAAGACTACTCCCTTTGTGGGATTGATTTTGAGCATTTTTGAAAAAGGGTTTAGTAAAGTCATGACGGCTGTGACCCGTCGTGTCATCTTTTCCTTTTGTAAAATTTTGCAAAAGTGTTTATGGATTTTATATGATTTTATGGGATACTCAAACTCTTTATGGGATGAACTCAAACTAAAGCAGGAACTGCCGATTCGTCGACACATGCATCGGAGTGATGAATCCCTTTAAGCCGGTGGCGCATACACGCACACTTACATGAATACACATGTATACATATATGTATACTGTGTTTACAGCTACAATTAATGGGCACGTGCACGGATACTGCAATCCGTAGCTGCAACGGCATGGGCGCATATGCAAAGAAATGCTACTATGTTTCTCGGTGCATGTCAGCCTTGGTATGTGCAGATGGAAACTACTCAAAGATTGATCACACCTTGGTATTTGTGCTCGATGCTCCAGCCTGGCTCATTTGCCGGTCAACGATGTATCATATCCCCCTTGCAGGAAGACCTTGACATGAAGTAAGCTTTGAAACGCTGGTAAAGGCCTAAAGTCACAGCATTGTGTTCAATACCACTACCCATGGTGGCTGCCTATGATGAAAAATCGTAAGGTATGCACAGCAGTACGTACATGTGATGCCAAGTGAAATGCTGCATGGCGCCGTGCAACTCCATGTCATGGCAAACTGTAGCGCACTCATCTGAGCCCTTGCAAAACAAAGTACTGCAATGCTGTACAGCACCTGGTTACCTATGCTATATAGTCTATATAGATGCCGGCGTCAACAGCTGTGTGTTACTGTGTATTGCTGAGATTCCACAGCATTCTTCCATGAAGTCAAGAAAAGACATCAAAAACCATGCGTCATTTTCTTCAAAAAGGAGTCACGCAAGCCTTGCTGGTTGTCTCCTCCTTGTGAAACGCATTGCTGTGCCGTGTTTGCCGGGACTCATTTTGGAATCCCGAATTGAAACAATGAAATTCTGTGCGGCAACAGCGGAACTGACTGCTCTGCAGATCGCCGAATAATGCTGAGGGAGCTTGTTCGAGAGAATAGCACATATGATTCATATGATATTATCACCTAACAGACATGAAATCAAATCAGCTGACGGCCCCAGTAAGCGGCGCAAATTATCAAAATTGAAACATCACCTTGTGAAGTCTGGCACTTGGCCTCTCAAGTCAGCCTTGCTTTCGCCGCGTGTCGACCAAAACCTGTCACCAGCAATGCAGCAACCAAAACCAAAACATGCCAACAGGTGATCTCATATGGCTTCCCTTGTGATGACCCATGCTTTGCAAAGCGATCACTGCTTCAAGTTTACAGCGCGCCATGTACTTGCTCTTCTCCAGCTGGGAAATGTGGGAAATGCTGAAGTTTTGCGGGTTGAACTGCACCACCTACAAGGTCAGGTTTCAAGACGTTCCAGGCATATGATACTTCTAAGCGTTGCCCTGGTCCTATGTGGAAAGAAGATGAAAGACGTATGTCTGTCAATGCTTTGATTTTCGACGGGAAAACCCATGGAGATCACTGGAGATCGTGCACTTGCAACGCAGTCAGATACGAGGCGAAGTTACAAATCACGAGAAAAAGAGGATGGACTCCGTGCCGGTGCGCAGAGGAGACCGTAAGCGCATAGGTACAAAATGGTACAAACGGTAAAGTATCTACAGAATTCTACAGATATCTACAGATCTGCTTCTGAGATGTTCGACGCCAACAACGTGCACCGAAGTGAAAGAGCACCTTGATACCCACGTTGCAGGCAGTAGCTCCTGCTGCATTTGTCTGCACCTGGGATCGATACTTTACGCACTGCCTTCATCGAAACAGCCCAACATTACCTCCTTCATTCATCTTCATTCCAAGTGATAAACGTTGATAAACTATAGTTCTTTGATGTTCTTTGAACGTTTCTGTTTGGCCCTAGAGATCCTGATGATCCCGAAGCGAGGCAAACCACTGTTTCACACGGTCTCATTCATGCATTCTGCACTGCAAACACGATCCCATCCTGAGATGGGATATGTTCACTTCAAGCATGGAGTGGAACTGCAATTGAGAGTCGGCAGATTCTGTGTGTCGCGCCACAGTGTACTGCTGATATGGGCCAGCTGGATCCTGTGTCAGATCACTGCGCCAGTCGGGAACACAGCCGGTGACACAGTCGGTGACACTCTGACTTTGCCAAGGCTCACAGCTCCAGCTCCAAGGACCAAACCATGTTCGGTGGTGGACTTGCGGGTGTGCCCCAAATTGTGCCAGTGGCAGGATCCTAGCAAAGCAAGCAAAGCTGTCCAAAGAGTCTTCTCAAAAAGGCAAAAATATCCCAAAGCGAGCACTCATTAGCCAAAATTACCAACAATGGACTGTGTGCACTGGGAGACCAGCGAGCTGCAATCCCAAGGGTAGCTCAGCCTTGGTGGAAGATCTGCGGACGTTTTGACGCAGATGCAAATCATCACATTGTCTTCACCAATTTCTCACGCGTATGGTGGGTGTTTCACTATGTTTCAATACTTCTTTAATCTCCTCTGGAGACGGACGGACAACTCAAATTGAAAAATGGGAAGTGAATGGAACTGAACTGGTCGAGTAGGAAGGCAATCCAAAGATATTGTAATTGCAAAAATCTAAACCCAAACAAAGCAGGCCTTATCGAACGGTCTTTAAGTATAAGCAAGCTCTTCCTAGGGGTGGTTTACCTGTTTTTTTGCTACCGTACAAGTTGAGGCAGAGGCGGGCTCGCAATGAAATCGGCCTGCTAGAGGCAAACATCAAAGTTGGCGACATCTGGTACCAAGATGTACCAAGCAGGCGTAGCAAAGTTTCATGATTATAATTTCTGGAGGTACATCCTTCCAGAGGTACAGTGTGTCTCTGAGGCCACATTGAGGATCTCACGGATGTATTTTGTTCAACGATTTCAAAAGTGATGTTCAGCATTTATTCATTGTGCCGTCCTTTGGCGAGCAAACAAGACTTGTGACTTATGTAACTTACTCAGTGACTCAGTGACTGTCTCGACCTGAAAGATGTCCACCCAAGAGCCTGCGCCTGCACCCTGAGCAAGCATTGGACGCACCTGCAAAAATAAAACACGCCAAAGCAGAACAAACCCAAGGGTTCCCAGATTTTCGGATTCCGGTCTAGTTGAGTTCAAGTTGAGTCAGATTAACCCGGAAAAACATGTTTCTGTGCCAGATCAATTTACTAAATTTTCTGGTGACAAAACCGCATGTCTTCACGGCGCCTCTCTGTACTGACCAGCCACCATCACAATATTGTCATTGGGATACTTGAACCTGAGAAGATCTGAGAAAATCTGAGAAGATCTGAGAAAATCTGAGAAGTGTCTGTGCGGTCTCGTATGGTCTGGTGGAAGTCTGCGTCTTGCCACGGACATAGCACGACATCCGCTTCAAGCGACTTGAGGTCCGTCCCTCCGTCGCCCTGGTCCATCCCTTCGTTGTGTCTCTGCACCGCCAGACCCAGGTCTTAGAGCATCACCCTGCAGTCTGTGCCATTCCGCCATCTCGCTCTCCCTCACTCGGGACTCGTCCATAGAAGGCCTGGGAATAAAACACCATCGCAATTGCAGAATTCAATTATGATGTGATCACTCTAAAATGCTAAACCATGTTAAGTCATGTTAAGTCCACAGCAAGGCGTTCAAAATGCTAAATGTAAAATTGAGTTGAAACTTCTCTGAGTCCTCTGCTGGCTGTGAGAAGTTCATGGGTAGAGACCTCTAGGCATTCAGAAAATTCAGGCCTTTCACAGCCTGAAATTCCCACAGCTTAAAGGTTCGATTCGAGCGTTTTCTGTCTGTCCAGTTTTCTGTCTATTGAATCTACCTTCAGCAAACGATTCGTAACTCACAACAACTCAAGTCCGTACCGCGTCTTTGAAGTAATTTGCTTGAGTGCAAACTTCATGCAATCTTCATGTTATGTATATAAAGATATTTCACCTGTCTAAAGTGAACTACTCAGATTACATGTATCCATATGCAACTTATACAAATAAAAATAATTTTAATTATAAATACAAATGCAAACGATATGATGTTATATTATATAAAATTATATTATATTATATTAAATTCAATTAAATTACATCATACAATATTAAATTATAGTATATTAAATTAAATTAAATTATATTATATTACACTATATTATATTATATTATATTGTATTGTATTGTATTAAATTATATTTAATCATATAATATCAAATTAAATTATTTTACATTATATTACATTACATTATATTATACTATGTTACATTACATTACAATATATTGAAGTAGATTATATTATATTATATTACATTATATTACGTTTTGTTGTGTTTTATATTATATGAAATTGTACTGTATAGTATTGTATTCTGGATTACATATGATATATATGATAAATTATAAAAAATAAAATATTAAATATTAAATATTTTAATTTATATATTATATATTAAATATTTTAATTTATATATTATATATTCAATATAAAATATTAAATATTAAATACCTAAATATTATATATTAAATATTAAATATTATACATTATATATTATATATTATATATTGGATATTATATATTATATATTAAATATTATATATTGTATATTATATATTATATGCTATATATTAAATATTAAATATTAAATATTAAATATTATATATTATATATTATATATATCTGCCGAGCCCAGCCCATGGAAAGGGGGAGCGCGTCAAAGGAAGAATGGAACTCGCAGCCCGTGCAAGCCGCTACGTACTGTCAATATGATCAATATGTTTTCAATCCTTGCCACATGCCGCATTGTCTTGTCACTGCTATATTCAATCCCTGCCGCATGCAACAATGGAGGCTCAAGCAGTCAACTGCGATGTGGGCGACTTTGGGGGCAGGGTCGTCCAATGCTACTCTGTTTGGCCTCTTCGAAGACTGACCTTTCCGGCAAGCCCGGCCACATTTTGAGGTCGTGTTTGGCACCTGCAAGGCCTGACTTTGAAAGCAAGCCAGCTGTGTTTTGGAATCGCTTTCTTGGCGCTGCAGAAGGTGGCCAGTGTGGTGCAAGGGATTGTGCAGAACATGAGGGTTTTGTCGCAGTTTCAAAAAGGATGGCAGGCGTGGGACATATGCAGAGGATCTGGCAAGATGCAAGCGCATTACACGAGACATGTGCATCAGAGCTGTTAGGAGGTCAGGGTGCTGATTTCCTCAAAGGTGTTGCATTTTGGAGCATCAGATCTTCAGGTTTGCTGCGATGATTTTACGTGACAGGTACATCACTTCGTATGATCTGGCATCAATTTTTCGCGGCAGGCGCAGCACTTTAGACAAGTGGAGTGGAAAAATCGCAAAACGCATTGGTACGAGGCCGTCAGCTCTGCACTCAACTTTCCATTTTGGAAGGAAGTCTGGCAGAATTGTTTCGTTTTTGATGTTGTCAACTTCGAAAATTGCGGTAGTCTCGCAGAATTGTCTCGTTTTTGATGTCGTCAAGTTCAAAAAGTGAGGAAGTCTCGCAGAATTCTTTCGTTTTTGATGCTGTCAAGTTCAAAAACTGAGGACGTCTCGCAGAATAGCTTCGTTTTCAAGCTTGCGGACAGACAGACAGACAGACAGACAGACAGACAGATAGATAGATAGATAGATAGATAGATACAACTGCAACTACAAGTACCACTACTACAACTACAAGTACAAATATACTACGCTACATTACACAACACTAATTACACTACACTACGCTAATTACATCTAAATACACTACGCTACTCTACACTAATTACACTAATTACACTCATTACACTACAACAACTACAGCTACTACAACAGCAACAACAACATAAAAAACAACAACAACAACAACAACAACAACAACAACTGCTGCTGCTGCTGCTGCTACTGCTACTACTACGACGACTACTACTACTACTACCACCACCACCACCACAGCTACAACACAAATACAGCTACACTACATGACACTACAATACACTAATTAAATTGCAGTACAATACAGCTACATATGCAAATACTCAACTACGCTACATTACACAACACTGCGCTACACTAATTACATTACATTGCACTACAACTGCAACTACCACTACATTGCGCTACACGACACTAAACAACAACTACAACTACACTAATTTACACTGCAATACACTAGACTACGCTACACTATACCACACTACAGTACACAACACTACAGTACAGTACAATACACTACACTAATTACACCACACCACAACTACAACTGCAAGTACACTAATTACACTACATTGCAACTACAACTTACTACTACAACTCCACTACACTACAACAACAGCTACACCTACAACTACAACTGCACAACACCACACTACATCCAGCAGTTGTGGTGAGGCGACCACTGCAACCATTGCAACCACTCCAGAAAACACAACTCCAACCACCTTTCGGTTCATCAGTGGATTCGCTCTGCCATCCGTGAGTCACAACAGCCAATCTCTCCTATATGTTTCATACTTTTGAAACTTCCGCCACCGCCTTGTGCGGTACTACTGGTAATTAATTAATAAATTAACTACATTATATAATATAATATAATATAATATAATATCATATTATATCATATCATATCATATTATATCATATCAATCATATTACATTACTACATTACATTATATTATATTATCTTATATTGTCTTATCTTATATTATATATATACGTATTATATATACACATATTCTATATTTTTATGTATATTATATATACATGTATTCAAACGTCTTAAAACCTGACCTAGATATGTTTGTAGGAGTCACAGCACCGAAGCAAACATGCCAGCGCACCTTTTGATGCAAGTCGCAAAAGATCCTTGTGCCTTGACGGCCACGTTCATTGGAAATGTGTGGCACATGTTTATGTGGCACCTGGCAGGCAATACATGAAATTGCATTCACACTGGTCCGAAATCAATGTTCCAGTGTCTGTGCGTTCGGCACAGTGAAAGGTAAAACAAGGAGCCCGCTACTCAGTGCAGCCCACCAGGCATCAGCACGCATCTTCTTGGTCAAGATGTCAGCCAGCTGCTTGTCCGTAGGGACCCAGTGCAAAGGTGGTTTGCATGGTTTGTCTGGCCGCACCGGCCCATCTCCATAGACCTTTTTCCACTGATGCTTAGCCTCCACCTGCAAAGACTGCCGGATGGCAGCCAAGTCCAAAGCAAGACGTCGCTCTGTTGGAGGCTTTGGTGTCCCGGCTTTGTGAAGATGATCATATAGAGATTTGCAGTCGGTGCACAAATGGATATCCACGTACTTCCCAGCATCCTTCTCATGGATGAGACGTCCATGGATGAAGGAGAGCATTAAGCTCCTCAAATAGAGGCAGGTTTCCAGAGCATCTCCACAGGCCATGGTCTCTCCTGCAAAGGTGGACCGACAGATCCTTGCGCTGGCTTTGCTACGCCAGTCTATCACCGAAGCCCTGCCAGCCTGGTTCTCAACCACGCATTTGTCAGCTACCATCACCAAAGACGCCAGCTGAGAGGCCTTCTTGAAATCCCCATCCCAATGTTGATCTTGTTCACCTTCCAGATCCGCATTGGCCCAAGCGGCATCATGGTATGCCAGGAAGACCATCCGATCCTCCGGGATCCGTCTCAACCGGATACCCTCATGTTTATGGTTCTTTGCAGCATCCACGATCTTGTTGGTCTCCTTTACATCAGCCACCGATGGATTTCCTTGGACTCGTTGAGCTTGTGCTACTTGAAATTGTAAGTCGGCTCGAGATTGTTTAGCCAACCAAGAGAGGCACCCAATGGCCGTGCGGTTTTGTTCGACCAGTTCTGCCGGCGCCTGGTCTTCATTCCTGAGGTTGCCAGGGATGTTGATCTTCTCCAGCCTGCTCTCTACATAGCCCGTTTGTGTGATGACTATCTCTTCCGGTGATATCTGATACTCACACCCGATGTATTCAAACTTGTCCTTCTCCCAGTCGTCGACGGGGAACTTCAACCCGATCTCCTTCTTCACCTCTTCATGGAGGCCGGTTTCCGCCATGACGAGCAAGTCGTCCACATGCGTAAAAATCATCCCACACACCTTGCCTATGCTGTCGACGATTCTGAAAGCACAGGGGTCTATCTCATTTTGTTCAACTTTGTACCTCTCCCCTGCGAAGACGATCTCCAAACCAAGTAGGTCGCTCGACAGCTTCAGCCACCAAAGTTTTGGCGAGGTTGAGAGCCCAAAGACTCCCTTCAGAATCTCCACCAGCTGACCCGGTAGAAGGCCAGGAATTTCCCTCACCGGTTGCCGGAAGAAAAGCTTCCGTGGCGCCTCCACCCCATTGAGGAATGCTGCTCGAATATCTCCAATCGCGACCATCCACCTCCTTGCCAAAGCTATTTGTAGCCCAAGGAGCACTGAATGCCTATTGGCTGTGGGTGCATCGACCGACATCTCAATGTTGCCAAGGTCTGGATCCCGTTGGCCTCCCACACACAGCCGTGCTTTGGCCTTGCATGGAATTGCGGGATCCCTCCGGCGCCTCGCCAGGTTCTTGTCTCGGTACAGGAAGCGGCAGTTGAGGATCCTGTCCCTGCCCACCTCACTTTCAATCTGGGCACTCTCCTCCAAAGACAAGGGTCGCACAGCACCGAAATCAAGGTGCTCTTGCCATTGTTTCTTCTCTGCCTCCACGTAGAGCTCTTTCTCGTGGTGGTCTATGAGATTCCATGGA